GCGTTCCTGTTCCTCCTGCTTCCTCCGCCTCCCCCCCTCCTCCGTGCCACCTCCTGTATGTGATGGAGTGTGCTTCAATTGGACACGACACCCAAACAATTGCGCTTGGACAGACTCCACATGAAAATGGGTAGCTGCCCGCGCACCGCACGCGTGTCGGATCCATGGCCTCCTTGCTCCCGGTCCTCCTCAACAGCGGTAGGCGACACACGCACTTCAAGAGTGGCATCACTTCATCCCCTCTCTCCCACCACCAGTCCCTCTCCCCCTCCCTCCTGCCCTCCCTCGCCTTCTGCCACTCTCACCCCATTTTCACTCTTCCCTCCGCGTCCCTCTCCATCTTCTCTCTCTCTCTCTCGATGCTGCTGCGAGCGGCTGCGCCCTCGAAGCACACCTCCGAAAGTCTCCCCTCCACCTCCCTGGCTCCGACCACCAACGCTTCCCAGACGTGATCCCACCCGACACCCAGGGGAACGGATTGCGGACAACCGAACAAAGCAAGGCGATCTCTACCCATACAATCGTCCTCCCGTCCCCCCCGGGCCCAGGCGGAGGGAGAGGGGCGAAGATTGAAGGCAGAGCAGAAGTGGAGCTGGGGAAAGGGGGGAAGGGGGAACGGGCAGGGGAGGTGGAGGGGTAAAAGGAGAAACCCCGATGCTGGCCAGGGGGCCCGATCCTTTTCACGAACCCCTTTCTCCCTCACCCTCCTTCTCCGCCTCCTCCTCCCCCTTCCCCTTGCACCTCCTCCCCAACTGCCTCTGAACGCCGCTCGCTTCATCCTGCTCCTCTTCCTCCTGCGCCTCCTTCTCCTCCTCCTCTTCCTCTCCTCTCTTCCTCCTCCTCCTCCTCCTCATCCTCCTCCTCCTCCTCCTCATCTCCTCCTCCTCCTCCTCCTCCTCCTCCCCCGCCTCAGCCTTTTCCCTCGTTCTCGTCGTGCAGACCTCGGCCGATCCCGTCGTCGCCGCGTTCGTCGTCGTCGTCGTCGTCGTCGTCGTCGTCGTCGTCGTTGTCGTCGACGTCGTCCAGTCGCCGACGTCCAGTCTTCGTAGTGCTGCCCTCCTCCCCGAGAGGGGCGGCTGTCAGGGCAAAAGTCAGCGCGGGCGGACCCCGCGAGAGGCGGCTGCGAGAATCTCCCACGGCCTCCGGCGGCGGGGCAGGGGAGATGCCCCAGAGGAAGGAAGTCCGAGGGGAGATGCCCCAGGGACGAGGGAGGCAGGCAGGGAGGCAGGGAGAAGGCGAGGCAGGGAGAAGGCGAGGCAAGGAGGATGGAGGCAGGGAGAGAGTGGAGGGAGTGTGGAAGCGAGGGAGGGTGGAAACCAAGGAGGGAGCGCGGGAAGGGTCAGGGTGGGGCGTAAGCGGAAGGCGGAAGGACTCGGCTGAGCAGGGGCAGGAGGGCGCGATGGAGGATGAGGGGGATACAGCACGAGCTGGCGGACGATGCGCTCGCCATGCGCGCTCGGAAGAAGGAGCTGACCCCGCCTCCTGCTCCAACGCCGACTGGGTCCTGTTCACCGAGGGCCTCTTACCTCATCCAGGTGATGTGGCTCCTCGGCCTGATCAGAACTCTGCCCCTGAGGTGACACGGGAAGGTGAACCCCCCCTGGTGATGAGCACTTTTCTCGGGGTAGTGGAGGGAATGGAGCAGAGCAGGGGTGGGGACTCGCCGCGCACGATCCTGGTAGCCAGTTGGCCCTTCGCATGTGGACCCCTCTTTGGGACAAGTTCCCCCAGGCCTCCCGAGCTGCAGAGTTCGGTGTTTGTTGTTTGGCTCCGGGGAAACGGGGTATGTTTGGAACTGGGGCCGCAAACCGCAGCTGCAAAAGTTCGCTGCGTGGAACTATTGCGCGCAACTATTGCGCGCATCGCAGAGAATAACTATTGCGTTCGCGCGAGCAGACTATTGCACCCCGACTACTGCACGAGGCACAGTACGGTGTATGTGGTCGTTTCCAACTATTGCGTGAACTATTGCGCCCACGTTTCGCGGCCCCATTTCCAAAGACCCCATTCGCCCGATTTAGACTTTTCCTATGCCTGTCTGTGCCTCACCGAGTCCTCTGTTGGCTTCAGCGATTGGCTCGACGTCTGCAAGGCCTTCAAACTCGACCGTGCCAAGATGCTGTCGTACAACCGGCCTTACGCAAATCTCATGATTGATGCTATTGGGGTCCGGTTTTCAGATGTGGTCAACCACAAGGATCATGTGGCCAGGCCTCGGGGCCTCTCGCCCCAGGGCCTTTTTTCAGAAAAAAAGGCAACGACCAGGCTGATCGTTCAGCCAAGCTCGGTGCGGCCATGCATCCGAAGTCCTCTGCCGACGAGGAGCAACATCTCGTCTGGCAGCTCAAAGCTTCCCGCGATATTACTCGTCTCGCTGCTCGTTTGCTTCCGTCGTGGCCGCGGCTGCACCTCGACGGGATTCCCTTCGTGACCCCCGAAAGGGCGCCCAGGGACTCCGCCCCGACCGCTGCAGGGGAGCACGAGGGTGGTGCAGGATTTTCTTGCGCTGCGGCAGGTGCCTTAGGTTTCGCAGGCAGGCCGCGCGTGCTTCGGATGAGGGCTGCGCGGAGAACCTGCCCCTAGTTGTTGTGTCTGTTGCTGCACGTGGCCACTCCTGCCTGGCTTTGGAGATGGCCAGCGATGTGATTTCGATTACGTGCACGAGGTGCTAAGCATTTTCCACTCTTGGACAGTTTTGTAAGCTCCGGGGTGAGTGCACACGTCCTCACGGCAAGGCCCAGGAGTACTGGTCCAGAGTGAAGCGAGGCTGGCACCCGAAGAAATCCATTCGGGTGGGGGCCACTTCCATCAGGGAGCAAGGCTGATGGCTGGCAGGGCGCTCGTCTAAACAACTCCTCCTCCTCCTCCTCCTCCTCCTCCTCCTGCTCCTCCTCCTCCTCCTCCTCCTCCTCCTCCTCCTTCTCTCCAAGCGGAGGCAGTCTGAGCATTCACAGGCTAGCCCCGTTGACTTGCGTGAAATTGTTTGTAAGGTCCAAGGCAGGTTTATGTGGTGGTACACCTCTTGTAAGCGCGGTGCTTGGTGGTACACCTTTTGTAAGCGCGGTGCTAAGGTAGCCAGTGCGATACGTAACCTGGCGGCTCAGACGTGTTTCACTAGGTCTATCGAGTTGAGGGATGCGAGCGCTGCGGGTGAGGTCCGCCGACCTGTGTCTGGTGCCCCCCGCCCACTGGGGGGTGACGGCCTCTTCGAGGCCAGTTACGACTTGCTCATGCCAGGGCCATCCACCCTTCCCAGAAACAGAACTCTGCTCGCGCTCCAAAATCTGGCCTTTCTAAGGAAGCCGGGCCTAGTCTGAAGCGTAGCGCTGGGGGGCGGCCCCGGCGGGGTGGTCCCTGGTGGGCCCTCGCCTCGTGTCGTTCGTCCTGGAAGTTGCCTTTTCATTGCTTGTCGAAGGGGGTGGGGGGGTGGACGACAGTATTCTGAGTTGAGCTAGCCAAGACGTGTTGGTCGCCTCGTCGGATAAGCCCCTGCCAAGCGCAGGTGCGTGGGCATCAAAGGATGTCCAAACCTTTCTCAGACTATCGTTCCCGCGGCTGCTCCATTGCCAGAGCGAGGGCAGATCGAGCCCGTGCATGCGAGGGTACAGCTTTTGCTGAGGGGGCCCAGGCCGCGTAACAGTGTACACGCAGCGTGGATATTTTTCGACGGGGGTCGCTAGTTGTCTGCTGCTCGACTGTGAGCCCCCGCGTAAGTTGTCGGCCGGAGCCTCGCGGAAAAGGAAACCGGTGGACAGCCCAACGGCGAAGAACAGAAGGGCAACCCCTCCCAAACTATGATCATCATTGACCCTCGTGCCAGCTGTACCGCTTCGTGCACGCCTCCGCCGCGCCCGTCGCCTTTCTTGCGGCAGCGGCGCCGCCCCGCGAGCCCGCGGATAGGGGGGGGCGGGGCCCTCTCCGGCCTTGCTCACTCCCACTGTGGCTCTCAGGCGCCCTGCACGACAGACTGGAAGCAGAGTCGCATCCCCCCTTCGACCCTTCTCTGTCCTCCCTCCCTCCCTCCCTCCTCCTCCCCCTCCTCCCTCCCTCCCTCCTTCCTCCTCCCCCTCCTCGCCCATCACCCTCTCCTCCTCTCGCCGTCGCCCCCCTCACCCTCTCCTCGCCGTCGTCAGACCGCGTCATGGGGGAACAGCACGACGCCAATACCGCTACTCCTCAGACCTCCCCCAGGGTGCGCTCTGACCGGAATTTCGAGGCAGCCGCAGCCGTGGCGACGAGGGCCTCCCAGGAGGCCCAAACAGGCGACAACGAGGCAAGAGCGGCGGCATCGGTGTCTTACCAGACGTCCGCCGGAATGCTTTGTTTCAATCCGCGGGTCAATTTTCGGGAGCGCGCAAACATGGATTAGCGATCCGTGGATTTGCCGCGCGGTCGCCACATCCATGGATCCGGGAAGGTGCCCTCTCCAAAGTGCGGCAGGTGCCGCCTCGCTCGGCGGCGGAAATCCGCGATTTCCCGTGGAAGCGGGACCCGCCGCTAACCCAGGAGGAAGAGGAGGAGGAGGAGGAGGAGGAGGAGGAGGAGGAGGAGGAGGAGGAGGAGGAGGAGGAGGAGGAGGAGGAGGAGGAGGAGGAGGAGGAGGAGGAGGAGGAGGAGGAGGCGCGCACAACCTGGCGCAACAGAGGTACTGAAGCGCGGGTAGCTAGTATATGTAATGCCCTCAAGGGTGAGGGACTTGACAGGACCTGGGATGAAACGCGCGATCCTGGAATAAGCGGGGGGAGGCCATCACATTTTTGACAGCTCCCATCGAAGCCAGGCGGCCACGACGGAGCCCGACAGGCCTCCCCCCCCGCACAGACGCCGCGGAAGCCCGAGGCGACGAGGGGCCCAGGAACCCAGGAGACCAGAGCGCCCAGACAGGTATTCCCACCGCCTAAGCCCTCCGAAGACGGCCAGTGCGGCAGGAACGCCACCCCCGCGGGGACGGACGGGCGACCACCCAGCAGCCTCCCGAGGCCGCCCCGACCCAGAAGGGGCTAGCCATCGCCCCACGGGCGAAAACCAACCCCAGCGACCCCACGCCCCGAGGCCCAACAAGAAAGACGAAGCGAATCCAGCAGGGCAGAGCGGGGGCCGCGCCGAGGCACTACGGAGCACACAAGCTGCCAAGGCTCTGTGCGCTCGATACCCTCAGCCTCCTCCATTGCGCACGCGGCATGGCCGAGCGCGCCAATTCCCCGCAAGCGCGTCGGATCGTCCCACTGGATGATGGCATTCTCAGCGGGACTGTCGACATGCACCACGCTTCCGACGAGGCCGACTGGGACGCGGACGCGTTTGCCCCTCCCCTTGCGGCTGAGCTCCTCGACAACCGCGACCCGCATGCCCTCCATCAGCTCATCGGCGGAAGCGCCGCGATGCTGGTTCTGCACGCTCTGGGCCTCCACGTCGTCAGCGGCGTCGTGGCGCTCGTCCCCCGAGCCGAACTCGGCGTCCGCCCACGAAGCTACTCGACCACCATGCCCAAGTAGCGTGCCAGCGTCCTCGCTCACCAACTCGAGGCCATTCTGCTCAACGGCCACAAGCCTCTCGCCGTTAAACTTCTCCAGCTGCTGGACAAAGTACTCGTACGAGGAGTCGGTGATGTAAAGAACCTCCAAGCCCCTCTTCCGCAACAGATCCAGGCCAGGCGACGCGGGCATGTCAGCGGTGCTCTTGCCCGTGATGTAATAGATGTCGTCCTGCCCCTCCTGCATGCGGGCCACGTGCTCCTTCAAGCTGTCTGTGTCGTCTCCCGTGTTCGACGTGTGGTAGCGCATGAGCTCCGCGACCTTGAGACGATTGGTGACAACGCACGTGCCGTCGGCCTCCTCCGCGATAGCCGAGTGCACGTCAGCAGCCATCTTGAGCTCGTCCCTGACCTGGTTCCTATCCTTCGCCTGGTCCGTGCTCTCGGCTGCCAGGACAGGTTGTAGGCCAGCTGCACGGTGCAGCAGCAGCGCCTCCACGTCAGTCTGCAAGACCCGCAGCTTGTCCTAAGGCGTTGACCACCAGCTTGCCGCCCAACTTCGGCAAGAACTGGTCGGCCGCCGCTCCCACAGCGCAGTCCTGAACAGCCTGCGCCTCTTTCGTGCTCAGCAGCGTGCCATCGCCCTCTGACGATTCGCCGCCGCCGTGCACTACATCCGCGTCCGCTGTCAGGCTATCCACCTCCAGCGTACTCTCAGGCGCCTCCACCTCCGCGTCAACGAACGAGCCCTTGCCGACAAAGCCGTCGTCGGACTTGAGGCTGTCGATCATGTGGGGCGTGCCACCCTTGGCTAGCGCAGCACGCACGCGCTCAGGCACGGCAGCCCCAGGATGAGCCAGCGCGCGGCGGCCCGCCCGGTGGGCCTCCCACTCTTTGGCCAACGAGTGCTGGCCGATAGAGCGGAGGGCACGCCGCACATCTTCCGTGGTCGCCTTGCCCTGCACACCCATATGCTCCCCAGCATGCTCGAGCGCAGCTTCGAAGCCCTCTAGCATGCTGCACGCCGCGCAGGGCGCACCACCCTGGCGGCAGGAGCTCACGGCCTCACGAGCAGCCGCCTCCACTGCACATCGCAGCAGGTGGCCCTGCATCGCACGCCGCACGCCCCACGCCGGCACCGTGTCGAGCACCGCCGCCAACGCAACCTTGGAGGTGTCCTCGGCGCCATCCGTCCCACCACGCCCTCTGCGAGCCATGGCGCGACAGCAATCCTGAAGGACAAGGATCGCGAAAACGAAACCGTGTGGGGTGCAGAACACTCGAGCCCAAATGGCTACGGAGAGGAGGAGGAGGAGGAGGAGGAGGAGGAGGAGGAGGAGGAGGAGGAGGAGGAGGAGGAGGATGGGGAGGGGGAGGAGGGGGAGGAGGGGGAGGTGGGCCCGAGCATGGGCCCCGAGGGCCGAACTCCGCCGACCCCGTCGGCGTGTATGCGGGGCCTGTCCGTTCGAGGCGTCGCCTCCGTCGTTCGTTGGTCGTCGCCTCTGTCGTTCCCTTTCCCTGCGCCCCCTCTTTCCCTGGGCCCGTCGCCGCTCCCCCCGTTTTCCCTGAGGCCTCCTCCTCAAGCTCAGCGCTGGGCCCGTCGCCGCTCCCCCCCCTTCCCGAGGTCCTCCTCCTCAAGCGCGCCAGCCAAAGCGAAATTGAAAAACGTCGAAATTGACTGGAAGACCAGCCCCTTCACTCTGATCCCTCCCCCGCCGGGAGGGGGGGTCCAAAGGGAGTCCTGGGGTCCCCCAAAAAGCCCCACGACAGGCCAAGAGTGCCCCAAGAGGCCCCCAAGACGGTCCAAGAGGGCCATGAATCGCTGAACGACCTGTCCAAGACGCCTTGACGGCCTCCAGACGGCCCAGGAGCTCTGCAAGACGCCCCAAGAGGCCTCCAGGAGCATTCCCAAGAGGGCCCCAAAAGCAAAAATCATTGATTTTGTTTTTTAATAACATTTCGGCGTTCTCGCCTCTTCCGCTTCCCGACGCTCCAAGACGGCCCAAGAGGCTGCCCAGATCGCCCCAAGACGGCCCAAGAGGGCTGCAGGATGGACCCAAAACGGCCCAAGGGGGCCCCAAAACGGCCCAAGACGCCTCCAAAACGGCCCAAAAGGCCTCCAAGACGGCTCCAAGAGGGTGCCAGACGAGGGACCAGAACGGACATTTCGAGCCCTCGGCCCCGAAAGGCTCCCAGGAGGAACCAATAGGCCCCCAAGAATCCCCCCAAAGGCCCCAAGAGGCCCCCAAGAGGCCCCCAGGAAGCCCCGACAGGCCCCCAAGAGGCCCCCAAACGGCCCCGAGAGGCTCCCAAGAGGCCTCTAAACTGTCCCCCCCGAGGCCCCCGAGAGTGCTTCGAAGAGACCCCAAGAAGCATCCATGAGGACTCTGACACACGTCAGCGTCGTCGTCGTCATCGTCGCTGCCGCCGCCATTGCTTGGGACGCCCGAAGTGGGCATGGAAAGGATGGGTACAATGCCCAACAACAAATGTTGTCCCAAACCAGCAGCGGCCGCTGTTGGGCAAGCGGTCTTCTGTCAAACTCGGACACAGGCCGCGGCTGCGCGGACAACGAGCCCTGTTCAAAGTGGACAGGAACTGCTGTTGGGCATTGTGCCCATTCTTTCCGTGCCCATCTCGGGCGTCCAAAATTGCCGCCGTTCCCCTTCAGGGTCGGCGGCACCGACCGTAAGGCCCTCGCAATCGAACAACAACGCTAATAATTACAATTATCATACCGTTGGAGATCTGGGTTTCCTTCCTCTGATGTCATTCGTCGCCAATCGTCGCCGTCGTCGCCACGCTGGCCGCCTCGAGCGAATGCGGGTTGCCAACTGGCAGCGGCCAACGGGCAGCGGCTGCGGCCCAGGGGCACAGACCCGGCGGCGGGCGAGCGGGGATGAGGGGGGAGGGAGGAGGAGGAGGAGGAGGAGGAGGAGGAGGAGGAGGAGGAGGAGGAGGAGGAAGAGGACCAGTGTAAACCCAAATGCCACCAACGATGTTGGAATAAACCTTCCCCCGGGCTCTCTTTTTCATAGGCCCCTACAACAACTCATTTCCACAGGGGGACCTGCCTCGTTGGAACACCACCGTTTGATAAACCTGAATCATGCCAAAACATGATTCCATGCATCCGGACGCCACGGATAAGTTTGACTGTTGCGCTTTGGCGATCATGAATCGTACCAAAACGCCTTTCCTGGGCCTGCAATGCCGAATATCATCATAATTGCTGCGCCCCAGAACGGAACTTCTGGTACGTCAATCATGGGACCCCGCAGAAATCTTACACCTGTTTAGCAATAGTGTGCGCGATTCTAAAGCAAGAGCCGCATTTTGAAAACGACCCGTCCTCAATCCGTGAAGCCCTTTCCACAGTTTGAAAAGGAATGTGCGCGGCGCTAAAACGAGAACCGCATGTTCAAAACGACCCGCCTTCAACCCGTGAAACTCTTGCACATTTTAATGTGCGCGGCACCAAGGCGAGAACCTCATGTTGAAAACCACCCGCCCTCAACCAGTGAAGCTCTTGCAAAGTTTAAACAACAATTGCGCGCGAAACTGAAGCGATAGCCACACTTTGAAAACGACCCGTGCCAATATTTCAAACTCTTGCAAATTGTTTGGAACGCATTCGCGCGGTGCTAAGGCGAGAACCACGTTTTACAACATCAACTGCCCTCAGTCCGTGAAGCCTTTGCAGATGTTTGTAACGAATGCGCGCGGCGCTGAGGCGAGAACCACATGTTGAAAACCACCCGCTCTTTTATCTGTGAAGCCATTGTCACTTTTAAGCTTCAGTGTCATAAATGGTGAGGAAGTCTCAGGCGAAGAGCCCCGACCGCCCTAAAAACTTGCCTCGGGGTGCGACAGGGATAATTTATTTGTAAGAAAAAGGAATGGAGCAGGAAGAGGAGGAGGAGGAGGAGGAGGAGGAGGAGGAGGAGGAGGAGGAGGAGGAGGGGGGCGGCGCCCAAGGTCGGCCCCCCGAAGGCCGGCCGTGTATTGCACGCGCCCATCCAACGAACTACCGCCCGGAAAGCAGCAACAGCTGCGCGGGAAGGGCATAAGGGGGTGACCACGTCGCCTGTGAAGACTCGCGGCCAAGCGGTTCCGACATGGCGCGTTGGGAGCCAAAGGCATCCCAGTCGGAACAGATGGCACGGCATACTGAGAAGCACAAGCCCCCCAGCCCTGGGTGGGCACAAGGCCCCTTGGGACCCCCCGAGGAAATGCCGATCCCTGAGGGTCAGATCACAATGAAATGACCGCACAGGCGCCGCCACCCGCCTTCACCAGCAGGGCCAGGCTGAGACTGGGGCCGTGCTACACCCAACGACGGGAGACCCGTCGATACAGGTTTCGCAGCGTCCACCTCAAACCCCAGGGCCCGCGGTTCCGGAAAAATCGGCCGGTTGCACCCCGCCCAACCTGCGAAATAAGTGCCGTGTACAGTGTGCCCCGAGGGTGGCGCTCGGCACGGACACCATGAAAACAGGTGCCAGGCCTCACCGGAGGGGCGCAGAAGGAGGAGGAGGAGGAGGAAGAGGAGGAGAAGGACGAGGAGGAGAAGGAGGAGGAGGGAGGAGCAGGAGCAGGAGAAGGAACAAAAAAGAGGAGGAGTAGGAGTAGGAGGAGTAGGAGGGGGAGGGGGAGGGAAGAGGAGGGAGGATGAGGAGCAGCTTCACTACCCGTAGAGGAGCGGTTCGAGAGGAGAGGAGGACAATCAGGAGACCGACGCACGATCGCCCAGAGATGCCTCCAAGACGCGCCAAGGGGGCCAAAAACGCCTCAAGAGGATCCCGAGAAGCCAAAATCATTGACTTCCCTTGGGTTTTTGATGGGTTTGGGCTTTCTCGTCCTTTAGGGCCTCTGACCGCCCAAGACGGCCAAAGGGCCCCCAAAGATCGCCTCAAGAGGCCCCCACAAAGACGGGCCCCACACAGTCCAAGAGGGGCCTAAGGTACCCTCGAGACGTCCCACAGGGGCCCTCAGAGTTGCATTCGAACTGACATTTCGCGCTCCCCGCCCCAAGATGGCCCCAGAGACAGCCAGCAAGTCTCAAGGATGCCCGAGAAGCCCCTAAGACCCCGCCTCTAAACCGCCTCCAGGAGACTTCCGAGAGGCCTAACCAAAGATTCCCACACGCATCCAATATGCCTCTCGCCTACAACCTAGGCTCGGTGGCGGGATGGGCCGAAAGCCACTACATATCTCCCTGGCAACTGGCGCGCGTCAACTGACCTTCCGTGAAGCAGCTACCTGCAGAAGTCGAATCACTCTACTGGCAAACGCAGCTGTGCAATGCTCGAACTTCAGCTCTCTAAACTTTTAGAGGATCGCTTCTCCAACTCTCAGCATGGCCCAACATATCCATGCAACATGATGCGAACATATGGCGCCACACTGGATGTGGAAACATCAGCCTTAGAAGCGGCACCCAGTGGCAATATCGCGAAGCAACAAGAAGGCTGCTTTCTGAGTTATACGCGGCGATGGGGGTTAGCGACGGCGTACTTGTCAACACCGCGCGACGGACTGGCACACTGGCCTAGAGGGCCTCGCTACAGAGGGGCTGCCGTGGAAGGGAGACAAGCGGGGATGCACAACGACACCCCAGAACGAAGATAGGACGATGACACATTCGGATGAGAAAAACGGTAATCTCTGAGAACTGGCGAGCACGGAGAAGACATCGGACACCGCAGCCGATACGGAGCGCTCCAAAACGCTCCAGGAATGTTGCGGAACGCTCTGGAGCGGTCTGCTCTCATCTTGGGCCTACCTGAACAAGGAGGAGGGAGGAGGCGCGCGCCAGCACTGGGCCTGAAGACGCCCCGCTGGAACCGAGCAGAAAGAAGGGGCCCACCCTGCAGGTTCGGTGAAACAGCACATCGTTGAACGGTGCTGCAGCCTCCCCTGAGCACAAGCACCCCCAGAGAGAGTGAGAGAGAGAGAGAGGAGGAGAAGGATGAGAAAGAGCGATTGATCTTCATGCTGGGCCTGCCTGAACAAGGGCATCGACACGCCTCCGCACACCGGGGTCTGGCGAGGCTCGGCCCATGAGGATCGACGCACGCACGCTCGGCCAACCATCTTCACACCTTCGCTC